CTAATTGTTATTTACTAACTAATCTTAAATGACTGTTCAGCAATGACGTCTCAGACACGTCTGCTTTGGGCTGGATGTAGACACGTTTGCTTTATTTCCAGTATTTTTGAATCACATGTTTCTTTATTTTTACTGGTGATGTCATCGCCTGTTTGAGGCAGTGAGATCAGATCGACTAAAATAAGGATGTAAATATTTTACTGATCTGTCTGCTGCTTGACCTCTGACCTCTGTCTTTACCCCAGGATGACCCCCTGGCACCTCCCCCCAACTCTCTGGGTGTGGTTGCTGGTTGGGGAATCTCCAACCCCAATGCCTCTGCTTCTTCCTCCCCCTCATCCACTCTGACCGTTGACCCTGTGTTGGACACAGACCTCGAGATGACCTCTGACCTCCTGCAGTATGTGAAGCTGCCTGTGGTCTCCCAGGCCGAGTGTGAGGCGAGCTACGCCTCGCGCTCCGTCAGCTACAACATCACTGACAACATGTTCTGTGCCGGCTTCTTCGAGGGGGGGCGGGACACCTGCCTAGGGGACAGCGGGGGTGCATTTGTAATGGAGGACGAGGTCAGCCGGAGGTGGGCGGTGTTTGGGTTGGTGTCCTGGGGTGGACCAGAGGAGTGCGGGAGTCTGAGAGTGTATGGAGTCTATACCCGAGTGGCCAAATACGTGGAGTGGATACAGAGCCACCTTCACGCTGCCCCCTGGTGGTGATGCTGGGTTTTTTAACACTTTGTTTTTATTGGTAGTTTTGTATATTTTTTACAAAACATTCAGACATTAACAAGTACAGAGCACTAGGCTTGCAAAGATGCATTAAAAAAAAAGGTATCCATTTATGGTACAATCAAATCAAACAGGTGAATTACAGCGATGATACTTTTGGTACCAGAATTTATAATATTTTTCCATTCAAGTAAAGGTCCCATTTTTTCCATTACTTCTCAAATTTATCAGCAGCAAGTCTTAATGAAAAAGTCTCTCCATTGTGTAAATTTCCTTGGTAATGCCTATCCAGTCCAAAAATGACGGTGGAGCCACGTTTAGCCATTTGCGAGTTATGGCTTTCTTTGCACCAGCCAGTAGTTTTAATAAAAGGTATTTGTCCGATTTCCTCAGTCCTTGGTATGAGGGGAAACATCAGCGAAAGGCCTGCTCAAAATGACACCCTTGAGCGACAGTTGGAAAACATCGCGGAACGGATCACTGCAGTTGTGAGGTCTCAGAATCAAAAGACTGACAACACCATGGAACAGAAGTTTGATACCATCATGGGGAGGCTCGCGGCTCTCCAACGGGAGATCAAGGGACCAGTGTCAGAGGG